CAGTGAAGAAAATTGAAGAGTACTTTGGTAGTCTTGGGATTACTGTCCCTGAGCGTGTCAACCCTCCAGACTATTTCATTGATATTTTGGAAGGCATAGTAAAACCAAATACAACCACAGGGGTGACCTATAAGCAACTACCTGTTAGATGGATGCTTCATAATGGGTACCCAGTTCCTATGGATATGCTTCAGAGTGTTGATGGGATGGTTGCATCTGCAGGTGACAATTCAGCTCATGGAGGAAGTACTCCAAATGCTGTATCTGAGGGACAGTCCTTTGCTAGAGACTTTTGGAAGGATGTCAAGTGTCATGTTGAGGTGAAGAAGGACGCTTTAAAACATAATTTTATAACATTAAACGACTTATCTGAGCGGACTAACCCTGGCGTGTTCCAGCAATATAAATATTTCCTCGGAAGGTGGATATTCCATTTTTAGTAATTTTGTTGCAAAAAATATTCCTATTTCTCTATGAGATATTAACCATATGAATATGATGAGTGTCGTATAAATTTGTTGAGTTTTATTATGCAAGGAACATTAAGACCTTGGGGATTGTAACTGTAAAGTGGAAAAAGAGCGGGCGGGGATAATGTTTTGCACTGTTGGACATACATATTATGCTAGTAAGGATGGCACTTATCATTTTTTACTTTCCCAGTACACCTGAAAAAGAATAAAGATGCTGAGACGATATTAGCATGGTTATCTGTGAAGGCTTAGACAATCAACCATTATCCATAGGCTTGCCCACTGTCTTGGAGTGTGACTGTTACCCCCAGCAGAGTCTATTTTACCCAAAATTTGCAACTGCTAACTTCCATTAAGATTATAGATTTGAATGGTTCAACTTGACTTCTTGTATTTCTGGATTTTACAGGGCCTGTAAGCAGTGGTTACGAGAAGCTAGAACACAAGCTGTAGATTTTCTGATTTTATTGCTAGCTGGAATCTGCTTAGGAACAATTGCCAAAGTGCGCGATGAAACCTTTGGTGCACTTGGTTATACATACACAGTCATATCAGTGTGTAAGTAAACTACTTTTTGTTTCTTGATTATGCACACTTCCTTAAACTGTGATTTTACTTTATGGTCTCAGATTTTTTCATGATCAAACTTGCCTTTATTAGAAGTTACTAGACCATGCCATTTACATGTATGTAGTTTGTTGAGTAAAAATTAATTTTTGAGTAAAATAGAGCAACATACCTGAACTGTTTGGGCCTGAACCCTGAAATATAGGTTTGGGCCGAGATAGGATAACCCGAATTGAAAGGCCATGACTCTCGGCCAGTAATGATTCCTCAGGCGAGTTGGCTCTCAGCCCAAAATAGTGCTGATTCGACCGACTCCCTATAAGAGTAGGACTTTTAAAGGATCAGGCTGAGATGTGGTTGAGGCGTGGCTTGGTCGTGTCTTAAGTGAATTAAAATTGCTAAGGATCATGATAGGTTCTGATAAGATTCGAACGTATGCTTGATCAGATGAGGATGAATCAAGTGCATAAAGGGACTAGGTTCAGAACCCTGGTTCAAGAGAAAGAGGCCGAGACTGGACCGAATTGAGTTTGGCTAAAGAAGGGATTAAGGGATAAAGAGAGAGTATCCTAAGTAAATGCGGAGTAGGCGTAGTCCTCTCAGGCTTCTACCTTGGCAAACCTATTTATCACGAAGTTCACCCTTATAAACAGAAGAGGTTTTGCAATGTGAAAAGCCCCTTCAACTCAACAAACAATTCAAAATGCTCTACGCAAAAACCCTTGCTCTTTGCGAAACCTTTCTCATAACCTTGAGAAAAATACTATCCTAACCCTCTCATCAACACATCTTCAGTTTGGTAAGTAAACAGCACTGTGTTGACAACTAGCGACATCTTGAGTTTGGATAACTAAACAACATTGGGGCCGTAGAATCAAGCGATTCAGGAGCATCTTCAGTTTGGACTAGTAAACAACACCGTTTCTTGTTGGTTGGTTATCTATCCAAGTCTTGGCCAGAGAAGAGTTCTTAATTTTTTCGTCCAAAGAGGTCACTTCATTAGCTTCTCGGTGAATTGAAGTGTTCTATGATCTATTACTCTCGTGCACTTCATAGTTCGGCATTTAGACGGCCGAACCACGCTCACTATAAAGACACTCCTTTCCTTTGAGTGTCTTTGCCCCTACAGTCTGAGACCGATTCGGCGCACTTATTCTTGTGAATATAGTTGAAGCAGCCGAACTTGGTACGCAAAATCTTGATCTTTGCAATGAATTAGCAACCTTGTCTTTAGGTTTTAGAACCCTAGGTCGATAGGTGTTCCTTCCTCAGTCGTAGTTAAGTGCAGAAGTTAACAATGCACTCCACACCACCATGACATCTATTCTACTTGCCCGACCGAGCTCCGTCACAAGGTGGCACGCCCACATTCACAAGGATGTAGTTAGCTCAACAGTTACTCGACTTGATTGCCATGTAGGCTTTGTAATTTTTAGGGTCAACAGTAACTCACCAGTTTGGCCTCTCATACTCACTGGAAACCTGACTCTCTCTTTGCCAACCTTTTTATGTCTATTTCCCATATTCTTTTCTAATTTTCATTGTATTAACAAGTGGTCTCATGGTGAGTGCTTTTCAGCCTATGGCTATGGAAGGTGGGGTAGTTGTTAATGACTGATAGGAAAAAAATTACTGGGCTTTTACCAAACAAATGTGTATGAGGGTAAATTTCTATTTACGTTAACTGAAAACTGTTTGAAGGAAGTTAAACTATAGATCTGAATCAGTGATCAAGTGGATTCTTGTTTGGATGTATGTTCTCAATTGACAGTCTGCAATATTCTTGTAGCACTGGATTGCTTGTGAAAAGAACATTACCCTATAGTTGTTTGCATGGCGTTATGTATTTTTGGAAATTGACGTGGTTGGCACCCACATTCATGTCCAATCACTACTCATGCTCGTGTCCTGAAATCATAGCTTTTTACCTAGACATATTTTACTTCTCACCCCTCCTAATTTTGTTTGCATTTCAGCTCTCCTGTGCAAGATTGCTGCTTTAAGAACATTTGGACTGGATAAATTGCATTACTGGAGGGAGAGCTCTTCTGGCATGAGTAGTTTGGCGTACTTTCTTTCAAAGGACACAGTTGATCATTTCAATACAATCATGAAGCCTCTAGTGTATCTTTCTATGTTCTATTTCTTCAACAATCCAAGATCATCCATCATAGATAATTACATTGTTTTGATTTGTCTGGTTTACTGCGTAACCGGTATAGCTTATGCACTGTCCATATACCTGGAACCTGGGCCAGCCCAACTGGTAAGAATGTTTTTTTCACGTTGAGGATCTATTAATCAAATGTATTCATGTATCTGCATGTGTTTTCTTTTTCCGGTTTTAAGCCATATGTTTTGTCGTGCAGTGGTCAGTACTTCTTCCAGTCATTTTGACTCTAGTAGCAAACTACAACGAGAACAAACTCGTTTCAAGAATAGCTAATTTGTGCTACACTAAGTGGGCTTTGGAAGCTTTTGTCATATCAAATGCCAAAAGGTTTGGAATAACCTGTTATTTCTACAAAATCATTGTGCATCATCCTTCGAGCAGACATTAGAGCTTCTTGCTTTCTTTCTTTTAATTTTAGGTACTCTGGAGTGTGGCTAATCACACGATGTGGTTCACTAATGAAAAATGGATATGATCTCAATCATTGGAACCGCAGTTTAATCTTCCTCATCATCACTGGTATTGTTACTCGAGGGATTGCATTCTTTTTAATGGTACTCTTGCAAAAGAAGTAGAGAAATCATTCTGATCCTTTCGATTCATTCCCTCTGTACATAATTGGAAATCCTTGGAGTCTTTAAAGATATCGAGAAGTCGTGCAGAAGAACTAAAATAGAGGCAACCTGTAGATAAGAGTAAGTGTGGCATATCCTTTAGGTAGTTCTTCCAGTCTGTAGGCTTCGATAGCAGTGGCATTTTATATATTCAGTGTAGCTCTTCCTCCGAAGGTTTGTAGTTACGCATTTGATGTGCAATATCACTTGTATCTTTATGATCTGTATCCACAGGGTTCTGCGTTTTTTAAATTTATGTTGCCTACGCATGTTTGTATGATACTGTTTAGTTGTGTTTTGTTTGAAGGGGTGAAATTAGAATTGGAATGCAATCAAGGAATGAAATTGAGGAACGATATGTTGGTTGAAAATTTGAATATGAGCTCCGGCCTTGGGGATCGTGGTCCACAATCCACGGTCTTTAGGACTTGAGGTCTGAGCTCGGCATTTGGAGAACAATCTTTTTGTTTGTTGGAGGTGTCCATTTTAAAGAGGGGGAAGGAAAGTTCGGGTTGTTTTTGGTATTGACCCTCTTTACCACCATGTATAGAAAGAGGAGAATGTGGACAGCTAACATGGTGCTGGTGGTTGCGGCGACGTGGAAGTCTTGAAATTTGGGAATCTATTACCTCATTTACCTCTGCATTTAACGGACAATTAACAGAAAAAATCGTTTTTGGACTAAATTTGTAAATAGACTACATCATGAGGGTTTAAATCTTAATATATTTTTTTATCACAAGGACTATCTTCCGATAACCTTATCATTACGAGGACAATTATTTGATTAAACCTGAGTGACTACATGTCAAACTATGAAAATCTGAATAACATATTTTGATAATAAGAAAAAATATAAGGAAAACTAATGAAAAGAGTTTGAAACTTTTGAGTTTTAATGATAAGGACAAAATAAAGGGTAAAGTGAATAGTACTAGGATTGACTTTTTAGTGTAAAAATGTGGTTTTTCGTTAAAGTGAACAGTACCAGTTGCTTTTCGTTAAAGTTCCTAAAAATATATGACCATTGAGGTTGCAATTTGACAATTTGACAACTTAAACATCTATTCACTTAACTTGACAGATTGTCTCACATAAGAGCATTTACTTGTACGTATATTCCGGATTTTATGAATTTTTTCCTTCTAGATATGGTGAAAGTAAAAGCATGTAATTGATCATTCATTCATATGATTGTGTTTACTATTTGCCATAATTATACAAGAGCTTTAGATCTTTGTAATTGTAAGGTATAACCGCTAACCACCCCAAATCCAGAATTGCAAGCTACGCCAAACCCCAAAAACTCCCCACGTACCTCTCACTCCACCACCACCCCCTCTTATTTTCTCTGCATGATGTCCCACCCACAACATGATGAACCTCATCATCATCGTCATCAGCCTGAAAGCTCTCTCTCATCACCATCTTCTCTCAAAGTTCTTTCCATTCATCAAATCAAACGTCAACAGCAGAAACAACCAGTAGCAGCCACCCTTATAAAGTCCTCACACCAACGCTACTTTGAATATATCCAAAACCTCACCAAAAATACTGCCAATAATATCTTACCCTCTTGGCTTTACTTTGCTTCTTGTAGGCGCTGGAGTTGGCTGAAGTTAAAGGCTTTGTTCATGGCGAGCCCCGGCAACTTGTCCGTTCGCACTCCATCGGAGATTGTAAGTTCCATATAAATCCATGACGCTATTGATCATGCTGTTAAAAATGTAATTACATAATACATACCATCTGTAATATCTTTACAATTTATTTTGGTTAGTCTTGAGAGTAGTACTCTTTGTCGCTAGCTATTTCATGATCAATTTCTTATGCATGAGAGTTTGTTAATTCGGAAATACAGAGAAACAAGAAACTTTCGGGGCAACGATGGAGGGAGCTTGAAAGAGAGGTACGTAGGATGGTATTCTAGTCCATCTCTGAATATTAATATTTGATTAAAGTTGTTTAAACAAAGAGTATCTAGCAATTTGGCACTATTAGATTAGCAGTGAGATTTTATTACACCCGAAACATAAATGGTACACGTGTCATAATACAAGTAAAAGAACACTAAAAAATTTATCATCTCTCTACTTATATTATAACACGTATTGTGCTGACTCGTATTTCAAAAACATAGAAAAATCTCCCAATTTAGATATTGGCGCTCAAAGCAAGTATATTTTATTAGTTTACACACATGATAGGAGTTACAAATGTATACAAATTCGATTAAATACTTGCTATCATTTTTAGGCCTCCATAACTATTTACCATTATATTTCGTCAAGCTTTCATGGTTTATCTTTCAAACTTTTGGTTCTTCCAGCTGGGGAGCCATATTTTTAAAAGAGAATATGAACTTAATATCAATTGGATTCCCATGGCCAATTTAGGACATCTCTTTGTCAAGGAAACGAAATCAAAAATGTTTGAACTGTCACTATTGAAGTGTAACTTTTGAAAAAGTGGTCCTTACCCAGCATCACCAGTCTGTACTGATATAGCAAACTCATGACTGCTAATCAGTTTCAATTCGTTCCCCAAAACCTTGAAGTAATAAATGAGAACCATACCCCTTAGTGTAATCCCGTACCAGCATTCTACATCAATGAAAATCTTACATTTCACCATAATTATATTAACTAATTCCGGTAAACCACCGCACCGCCATTTTTATCAACCAATAATCTTGAACCACTTAAGAGTTAAGACCGAATCATACCGATCAGCTGGGCTCGCATTTAGTTGTAACCTGTTTTATCTGGGGATTGGTTGGGTTTGATTTAGTTTGGTGGGTTATTTTTGTTGGAATTATTTGGTTTGTAACTTGGAAATTGAAAGCTTGAACTTTGAACCCTTATGCGGCTTCTAGAAAGCATGCTATTTGATTTTCTGGGTTTGGCGTGGTATGATCTGCCAAGAAAATTGGTTGGCCTTGCCTCTGTAGGGCTGCAGCAACGGAGAAGAAAGAGAATAAGGTTAAGCGGTGGTGGGACCAATAAAACAAAAGTGGAGTGTGGGATCCGTTTTTAATTGGTTATCTCCTATTATTTTTCTTTAACCTTCAATTTTAATTAGAAAAAAGGTTGTAGTATCTAGTACTAAAGAAAAACTTATAATTTCCTTTTCAAAAAAAAAAAAAAAAAAAAAAAAAAAAAAAAAAAAAGAAGAAAAACTTATAATTTTGTATAACAAAAATTTGTAAGTAAGAAATTTTAAATTTTTACTTTCGTGGATGACAAATTTGATACTAAATTTCTCTTAATCTAAGTTTAGTAGTCTTAAACTTTTCTCACAATCTAAGTTTAGTAGTCATATAACGTATCATTCATCTTCTAGACCATGATAAGAGAGTTGCATTGACAAGTTTCTTATAGGTTTCTTTGCTTCAAAGAATGCTGAACCAAGAAGAGAAAGTACACGAGGTTTTGGGCCAAGTTCAGAATCGGAAAAATGGTGACTCTGCTATTTCCATCCCAAAATTTCTTCCTCCCAAGGTACATTGATCTTCTTCCTTTTAAGCCACCCCATGCGGCTGACTTTTATTTTTATGCAGGGGATTTTTTGAAAGTTAGATGATTTATACGAAGTTATATTACAAATGTTTAAGAATTAATTATAAATCATACGTTAGATACTATATCTTGCATGGCATGCATGTTATATGGTTAGATCCTATAAGTAAGTCAAGATTAGACATTGGACATTATATATATGCTTCCACCTAATGAATAGTTATGATTTACAATTTGCCAGCATATATACGTTGCAGATGTATTAACTCATCACTCATGGATATTCTTCGGAACAAATAGATAAATTCAAAATGATTAAGACATCCAATTATAATGAAAACAAATATGGAGAAATTAAGTTTCCATCATATTTTTTCTACTTCATTAATTAAAACCTTATTCCTTTTCAAATTTTGATCAAGGTCCTTCGGTTTTAATAAACGCCATTAATTATTCAAAAACAAAATATTTACATGTCAAGATAACTAAGTTTTATTTTAAATATATTCATTTAGTGTTAGAAACGTTACAGTTGATATATTATATTTATGGCTAAACTTTTTATCATATATTTCTATTTCTAGTTTAAATTGTACCAATTTTCTTTTAAATTTTAATTTGTACCCATATATTAATTTCTTTTTGTCCCTTATTTTTTAAACCTTTATTTGTACTCATAATTTTTTAACCTTTTATTTTTACCCATAATTTATTTATAATGTACCTTTTTTTTTTTTTACAAATGTACCACTTTGTTATATAAAATGTATCCCTATTTTTTTTGTAAGTACCATTTTTTATGTAAAATGTACCAATTTTTTAATGTAAAATGTACCATTGTTTTTTCAATATAAAATGTACCATTGTTTTTTCAATATAAAATGTACCCATTGTTTTCTATATAAAATGTACCCATGTTTTTATGTAAATGTACCAATTTTTTATATGTAAAATGTAGCCAAATTTTATCATATAAATGTACTCATTTTATAAAAAAAAAAATCCCATTTTTTTTATAATCTAGAATGCACCCATAAGCAATTATTACCCATAAGCAACTTTGAACAATTAAATTGGTAGTGTAAATGAAAGCAAAAATAAGATAAAATGGTTGAGTCTTTATTGGTATTATTGCATCTCTTTTATTATTATGTCATTTATGTAGAAGGAGAGGGACTTCAATAAAAAATCTAAAATGCATAAGGTTTGAATATATAACATTTAGGGACCAGAGACCGCAACTAAACTATCCCAAAAAATATATAAGAATACGGTGCTTCAAAGAAACACTAACATGACTGCCATTTAAACTAGCATTTTAGAGAGGATTTTTGGTTTCCATTTTGGCTATGGGAAGACCTAAAATCACCCATATGTCCGATTTGGGTGATTTATTTTTGTAAAAATGATCTTTGAAAAAAAGACCTAAACACTAGATAGTTCAAAATGTTGAAATATAATGGAGTGAGCCCTTCAACAGCGTCCCTCAAACAAACTTGTTTAAGGAATCCCAACTGACTCAACAGAGGATCACTGTATATATGTACCAAAAAAATTAGGGAACTTTAACGAAAAACTCTGGGTACTGTTCACTTTAACGAAAAACCACATATTTACACTACAAAGTCAATCCTGATACTATTCATTTTACACTTTATTTTGTCCTTATCTTTAAAACTCAAAGTTTTCAAATCATTTTCATTAGTTTTCCTAAAAAAAAAAATGATGTCCATAAAATTACTTTATTGTTCTACGAGCATATAACTACTTATTGTTCATAAAAGAGTAAATATAATACTGTCTCTATGAGTAATGCAGATGAAGGAGATTTTGGCAGAGCTAGCTATGGTTGAAGGAGAAATTGCTCGACTTGAAGGCCAAATCAGGCAACTTCATCCTGGATTGAAGCATGAACAAGAAGCTACAAAGGAATCAAAACCCATTCCTCGTGCATCAAATATAGTAATGCCAAGTCCCATGCACAAAAGTGTTAACAATGAGAGCCAGAGAATGGCGTATTATGAGACCAAGGCGTTGCATTTCATAAGTAAAGCTATCAAAGGTGATTATGATCATTTTAACGACCTTAGTCAGAACGAGAAAATTGGAAACTCGAGAGGATTTTCTGATCAGAAAGAAAATTATTTCTATGAGGATGTTAAATTTGGAAATAAGTTTCCGAGAAAAAACGGAATTTTGAGGGCACTCTCTCCCCTGCGAGCCCCAAGACATCCATCACCCAAGGTATGCCCTAACTTGTTGCATTCCATTTAATTCTGTCTTTATAGTTTAAAAATAATTATTGTATGCGTCGGTTATATGCAACAACCTTTTGTTATAATATGCATGCGGATCTAACTGATACTAAACATGCATGTTTTGAGAGGGAGATTTATCGCGTTGTGTATAACTGGTTGCATCCAAAAGTTATTTTTCCTTTTTTTATTTTATCATGCTAGGTAAAATGGACTACTAGTTTTGTTAATTGCATGAGACCAATCAATTTTCAAAATGTTATGCCCCTAGATACGTATCACTAATTAATCGATGGTTTTTTGTTCTTTTTATTTTTCCAGCTAAAAGAATGTAATCCAGGGATTACTTCAGAACTCCAACCAAAATCTCTACCAGTTCCAACACAATTAGAAGAGAACAGCCATAACTGGCAACCAAACAGGCTCTCTGAGGAAATCATGAAGTGCCTAAACTTCATATACATTAGGCTGCTTAGAACAACAAGAACAATGGAGTTAGAGAAGTCAGGCCCCATTTCAAGGTCTGTCAACTCTTCTATAACCTCAAGAAGCTTCAGAGATGATACCGGTGTAACTCATTGTTACAAAAGGAATCAAGGCAACAAGACCCTTATGGCATCTTCAATGTGGAAGAGTGTATTCCTAGAGACATTGGCCCTTACAAGAACTTGGTTACTTTCACCTCAATCTCTATGGACCCAAAATCCTTTTCAGCCTCCAACTCTTTTCCTTTACTAAAAAAATTAAGGTACGTAACTACGTATATAGTTGTCATTCAGTACTATGCTATGGTGGTATTCATTTTCACTTGGAAGTGAGAGGTTTTAGGTTCGAATCTTGTAGATGGCGAATTCGATACGAACTTAGGCTGCCCATTATGTGGCTTAGCCGAGCTCCCTCTCCGCTTAGTGTAAAAATTTGTACTAAAAAAAAAAAAAAAAAAAAAACCTACGTATATAGTCTCCACTACTTCCAAGTTGTTTTTATGTTAGTGATTGTAACACTGTCACATGGTACCAGATCATGACTTTTTTTAAAAATTATTTTCCCTATTATCCTATTGCATCACAGGGTATTGATGAACGATCTCCAGGTGGTGGATTTGGGGTCCTTGACATACCAACAGAAGCTAGCATTCTGGATCAACATTTACAATGCTTGTATCATGAATGTAAATGTGTAAAAAAAAAAAAAAAGCTATTAATTTTGAATTAAGAGACGTCAATATGAATTGTGACTATTCCTGTTCAAGCTCATGTTGGATTACTGATTTTTTTTTCATTTCTCAGGGTTTTCTCCAGTACGGAGTGCCTGCTTCGGTGGAAAAATTACTCACATTGATGAGCAAGGTAAGCTCCAAAATTTAGCTGAAATTAAGCATCAAATTGTTATATATATGAAATTAGGCATTGACTGGCAGAAAACGACTTTAGATATTGGCTCAGAAGTTTATTTCCTTATTAATCTAACGAATAACGAATGATATTTGATTCAGGCAACTCTAAATATAGGGGGTAAGATTTTAAATGCTGAATCCATAGAGCATTACATTCTGAGGAAGCCAGCACCTTCCAGTATGCAAGAGGTAAATATGACTGATCCTACGAATCAATACATGTTTTATCAGTAGTTATTGTATTAGTATAAAAGATCTCAATATATCATGTGATCATAGGCGTTTCAGAATGGTGACACAGACGATAAATCCGCTGTTCACGAACTCTATGGTCTCGATTCCCTGGATCCCAATGTCACATTTTCTCTGTGTTGTGGAACTCGTTCTTCTCCTGCGGTAAAATTGCATATAAACGATCTAACATTGCATTTCATTGGTGTGCTATTATCACGATTTTTTATTTATTTATTTTTTCTGGAAAATAATGTTAATTTTTTCAGGTGAGGATATACACAGCCGACGGTGTCATAGCTGAGTTGGAGAAATCAAAGTTGGAGTACCTGCAAGCATCAATTGTGGTGACTACCTCAAAGAAAATTGTGATCCCAGAACTACTTCTAGGAAACTTGCTTGATTTTGCTGTGGATGTGGACTCACTAGTTCAGTGGGTTTGCCACCAGTTACCAACATCTGGATCATTGAGAAAATCAATGGTGGATTGCTTCAGGGGCCACATTAGCAGGGGCAAGATTAGTACGACTATTGAGAAAATGTCATATGATTTTGAATTTCAGTACATACTGGCCATTTAGTCAAGTCCCTGGTTAATTGTCTTGATTTGGTGTTAACTATCATGTATACCAAGTGTTTATATGAATAAATCAAGGATTGGATTATGGATATATTTATCATTGCCATTAGTTGAATGTGTCATTTCCACTTCTATTATTTGGACTAGGTATTGTAATTATTTCGTTTCATGACTGTCTCAACGTTACTAACATACACCAAATAAAAGAGTGTGGGTTTATGTTATAATATGTTATAATATGTTATAAAGTCCCTGGTTAACTGTCTCAACGCTTGATGCGAAATACCCATTTATTTGGCAAAACATTCATGGAAGCATTGCGGTGCGGGGAACACGTAAGAGTCGAAGTGTCGGCACGCTGGAGAGCATTAAATTCTTTAGACATGGCCTGACGCCATTTCGGATATTTGTTGGCCTGGCTAAAGCATGTGGGCTCAATGGAAGGGAAGCGTTAGTTGAATCAAGTGTAGCAGAATGGGCAGACTTGGAATTAGGCTTAAGAGAAACTGTCTTTGACCTTGTTACCATGGAGAGGGATGAAGGAACTGATGAGAAGATGAGGCCGCAACAGTGGGAGGAGGCGGCAAAGTGGCTGGTGGTGCAATATTGAGTGGTGGTACAGGTAGTGCACCAAGCCCAAATATGCCAACTAATTAATGAAGCGTATAATATATGTAAGTAGTTATAAGTTATAACTAAGAATACGATGTATGATCCGCAGTAGTGGTGAAGATACAGGGGCAAGAAATAAGTGGCATTTCTGTTAGCAGTCCCACATCTGTGGGGTAAAGAAAATCAATGACTTTAAATAGGATTACCCCTCTAACTAATACTGAGGCTTTTTGTGGTAAAATCCCACACTTGACAGATTGGGCATATGATAAAGTTAGGGACAATATCAGTGTCATTAGAGTGGCCCCTTAGGTCCGTCGATCTTAAAGAATTCTAACATGGTATCAGAGCCCACGGTTACGGGCGGGTTACGAGCCCGTGCAAGCCAACAAGCTTGTCACTAGGAAGTATGGGCTTGGAAATAAGCTTGGACTCTTAACATAGAGTCTGCCTCTGAGTTCATAAGAGTCACTTTCTGAAAAAAAAAATTGAAAACAAGTTTGGACTCCATTGGAGGCGACATCTAAGTTTCAATTGCCGATGTGTGGATCTCCATGTATGAACTACTAAATGAAAGTCACTTCCTGAAAAAAGATTGAAAACAAGTTTGGACTCCATTGGAGCCAACCTTTGAGTTTCAATTGCCGATGTGTGGATCTCCACGTATGGACTACTAAATGAGAGTCACTTCCTAAAAAAGATTGAAAACAAGTTTGGACTCCATTGGAGTCGACCTCTGAGTTTCAATTGTCAATGTGTGGATCTTCACGTCTGAACTACTGAATGAGGTTACACGTGAGGGGGCGTGTTAGCAGTCCCACATCGGTGGGGGTAAAGAAAAGCAATGACTTTAAATATGATTACCCCACTCTAACTAATACGAGGTTTTTTATGGTAAAACTCCACACTTAGTATCGGTATAGTTAGAGTGGGCCTCTGAGTCCGTTGATCTAACAAAATTCCAACAATTTCTTGGTAACATGTCATATAGCAAAGCACTTTGAATGAATTTGGGTAATTATCTTATACTCATGTTGCCAAAACAATTTCAAAACTTGAAAAAGGTAAGGTCATTTGATAATCGTTTAGAGATGACTAGGAGAGAATTAGATATGAAGGAAATTCGTCTCTTCTAATCTTACAGTTTTTAAGAGGATTAAAACGGAGTTCATGAAATATATAGCCACGCAATCCATCACATTTTATAGAGGTGTTTTTTTTTTTAACAAACATTTTATAGAGGTTAACAACAATATAATTAGGTAAGGAGTTATTTTCAGACTTGAAATAGAGACTCAATTATGTAATATCAAACAAAAAAAAATTAACAGAAACAAGGATGGAAACTGTAGTGGCATAAATTACAAATTGATTATCCATATTGGTGTCTTACAGAGTTCTAGGCCTTGATTTATTCATTATTTATTTTAGGGATTTTTCTAACTTTAATCTTTGAAGAAAATTGAAATTTAAAATAAACTTGGTGTTAGATTACATATTGATTATAGTTCCTTGGTGTGTTCTTAATTCAAAATAATTCATGTGTATTTTATTCAATATCTCCCATTAAATATTTAAATTTATTAATATATTTTTTGACCAAACCATAGTATTTTTTTTAACATTCTTTAAACTTGAAAAACTCAATTAATGTACATAAATGTTAGTATCGAAATGTATGTACTCAAATGTTAGCACCGAATTGTATTAAATTGAATTAATGTATTTAAATGTTAGTACCGAAATTTATGTATCCAAATGTATGCACTGAAATTGTATTATATTGAATTAATGTATTTAAATGTTAGTACCGAAATGTATGTACCCAAATGTATGCATATAAATGTATTATATTAAACTAATGTACCTAAATGTGTGTATCGAAATGTATGTACCCAAATGTATGTACCGAAATGTATTATATTAAACTAATGTACCGAAATGTATTATATATAATTAATGTACCTAAATGTTTGTATCGAAATTTATGTACTGAAATGTGTATACCTAAATGTATGCACCGAAATGTATTATAATTAATTTAATGTACCATAAATGAAGAAGACAAAATATATCGAAATATATTGTAAAATAAAAATTAGTTTATCTAAATGTTTATAACAAAATATAATATGATGAAATAAATGAAAATTATATAATTATAGTGAAATAAAATTAATACATTAAAATTAGGAAGAAAAAGATAAATAATTAAAACATAAAAAATATAATTAATAAATGAGGTGATTAATGTAGCAAGGGACTAAAATTAGATTTTGATCTTACTTATGCTTTTAGTCTAAAAGTCATCTTTGCCAAGAATTAAAATGAAGTTTCCTATTTATTGTACTGAAAATATGACTTTAGCCCATGAAACTCAATTTTCGTTACATAAAACCCGACATAATTTTTTTACTTGATTAAAACCTATTGACTAGGCTCCACACAAACAAATTCATTAACTATGCTTGACTTCACCATTGTACATTTTTTGAATGCCTAATATAACCTTAATTACATTTTTTATCTATACAATTAATTGTATACAGATTAAAAGGTGGATTAGTGATTCTTAAAAAGAGAAATAAGCATTAATATTCATATTGTGATTCGATCACAATATATATGATGTAATTTGACAAATATGTGGGGAATCAATAAATGTGCCTAATAGTTGTGCTAATATATGGAGAATAATTTACCTACAACATAAAGAAATGTTATTTGCCTCAAAGTTATTTTACATATAAATATAGGTAAATTATTTTACGCACACATATATAATAATTGACACACCCCAACCAAAATCGAGGCATGCTGGCCGTCACGTGAGAGTGACGTAACCATGATCACAGTGCAGAAGCAATAATGATATGGAGAAATACGAGTGAATAAAAACCAAACTACCAAAAGTACAAGCTAAGATAAGGTGCTAGTGCGAGATTAAGTGTGAAATACACAATCAGAGCATAAATAGCCTAAGTGCAGTCCGACTGGACAAGTACTAATTATACAACACCCAAGGGTGATCCTACATTTGTGATGTTCTGTCAGAACCACCGTCGAAATCCCCGTGAGCCACCAAAACACTTCTACCTAAAACCTGGAGGGGTGCAAAATAGAAAGTATGAGATGCGCAAAAACAAAACTTTTCAAAATCATTTCATTTGTCAAAAGCGCTAACCCCTCGCCGTAAAACTTGTATAATTTCCCAGAAAATAATATATGCTATAACAGAAATCATGCTCAGGATGAAAATCCATAGAAATATACCATGCCAAAGTATCTCAATGAAATGCTATAGGTAATCCAGTTAAAATGTGTCAATGCTAGATATCATATCAGTCGAATTCACCTACGTGACCTGCACAGCTGAGTCTATGGCTCATAACCAATCTCAATCATAACAAATCCTGCACACAAGTTGGAACCACTTAAAGTGGTCTATACGACAAGATTAGGTGTAAAATAAATATGCTCTAGTGCTACGATCACGTGAAAGCTGTGCGAATGATCGCGGGTCACCTACGAGTCAAAACCACCTAAAGTGGTCTGTATGACAAGCTTGTGCACCTAACTTGGATCCAAGGTGAGCATATGGTGCAGGAGGTGAATATCACGTGAAGGAGCCTAACTTTGGGCGGGAGCACTAACACTGAGGTGCTGGTTTATGAGCTCTCAGTACATCATATCATATCTCGCATAACTGAAGCAATCTCATATCTTTAATTTATGAACTGACTTGACATTTACCTGTGCGTCTGCAACACTAATCATAAATATATGCAACTACTAATGCATAAATAAAAATAGGCATATACTTTGCATGGCATTCCAAAACGTACAATCATTCAATTTCAATTTTTGGAAAAAATCTCAAGTATATATGTATATATAGAAAACCAAAAGCCCACTCACTGTTATGTCGAAGGGTCGTAGCCCCCGAGCCTCGATTGATGGCGCTCATCCTCCGGATAGGTCTCACCTATATGCAAAATAACTAAATAAACGTTATTTAAAGCACATACACAAAACTAGGAAATAACTTCTCATACATTACTCAAATTGGGTATTTGAATATACCACGATGACCTACTCAACCTTAGGAACATCTCCATATTTTTAGAAAAATTTTCCGAGCATCCACGCGCCCTCACGTGCTGGCCAAGGCACTGCCAGACGCGCGCAGGCACATGCCCCGCACAGGGGATGGAATAGTTAATGCCGTTATGGAATATTTCGTTAAACACACGCATATTCCGTTAAAGGTACCTCCGCTCGTCGAAGACCGTCGCCGTCGCCGAAAATTGGGAAAAAGTTTAAACCTTCATATCTTCTTCATTTCTTAACCAAAATTCATGAATTTTATACCACAATGAAATACAACGAGAAGAACAAGACCTTACCAATTTTAAGCCCTAAACTCCACGGGATCTCGCAGGAAAAACCTCGAACACTCCGACAACCTTTGCAACTCGA